GTCTTTGCGACGTTGAGGGTGAGATGGTTGTCTTGACACCAGTGGGTCAGGGCGCTGACCTCCTCCCTGTAAGCTGTCTCATCACTGTTGGTGATAAGACCAACAGTAAGCACCTGTATTTGTTAAACATTAACACATCATTATGTTATACTGTCATTTCCTCATTTCATTCCTTCTACAACAGACACAAGTGAGAACAGCACCATAACCACTGTTACTGCATCTCCAACAAAGGTGACATTTTTCAGGGGAAACTGAAGTTTGTGAAGTGCAGCTGCTTAGTCAACAACCTGAACTTCAGTGACTAGTTACTCTGGAAGTTAAAAGATATGCATCTTTTGCCAAATAAAATTCAAACTGGCCCTTTAATGCAAAAATATTTTACAAAATACTACAGCAGACGATGACAATATTATAGGAAGCAAATGAACCCTAAGATGCAGGTTGTTTTTCTGAACATATATAAATGTAACTATGCTGTGTATTATGTAAAAATAAAGCAATAAATAAAGGATTTATGGTTTTATTTATTTATTTAGCATGAGCATGATTGGCAGAAAAAAATCACTGGCACACACCAAAACTGGGAATATTTTGGAGGGCCGCACCATTAAACTGAATTTGATTTTTCCTAAACAACTGTGAACAAAATGTGCATTTTCACAACATCACAAATCTTGTCCAGTGCCAAGAGAAAAAAATGAAAACTGTCTGCAACGAAAAGCTCCAGATTTTCCTTGAAATGTCTTTTTATGGTTCACCTGTAGGGGCACACTCTGAAAATCCTTCTTTTTTCTCAGCGCGTATTAAAAAATGCAGAGACCACCAAACACTCCATCATAGAATTGCTTACTGTTTTATGTGATTTTGTGAGAAATCACAAAGCTGGTCTAGGCTGCTCCACCCTGTGATGTTTAAAGGTTGATTAAAGGTCCTTGTTGCTTTTGCATCTTTGCCTGTAAAGCTTCAGACGTCCTTTTCCTTATCTGCATAAATCAAGTTCTTGTATTTTTCTCTGTGTTCTGTATGATTCAAGCTGCAATCTGCTCTCCACAAACCAAACACACTACCTCTGACTTAATACTTAGAATACTGTGTCTGTTAAAACTCTACATTTTGCATCCATCTTTGTGTGTGTGTGTGTGTGTGTGTGTGTGTGTGTGTGTGTGTGTGTGTGTGTGTGAGAGCTGACATGTTTTCTGGTAAGCAAACTCTCATAAGCATTTGTTCCACTGCATTTACGGTGAAGCTGCATTTGCTTGCCCACATGCACATACACAAATGTAAAAATAATAATAACAAAAGTAGTAAAGCTGTGTTGTGATTTCCCCACAAAAATTGGTGCCCAGTGATCCCAATGTGAGTTCGTCAATGAGCAAGATTCTGAGGTTGTAAAAAGTGCACTCGTCTAGTAGTGAGGAAATGTTGATTAGGACAAGGAAAGATAAGATTGTTTTGCATCCAGGTAAACTCACCGCAGTGAGATGCTGTGCACACACACAGACTGAACAAGACGCTGTAACATTGTTTTGCCACAGACAGAACTTCACTTCATTGCTCAAGAACCTGAAGAGTTTGTCCCAGTAAGGGAGCCCTTACAAACTGCTGAGGAGGGGAAGACCGACCCAGCCTCTGGGGATAGCACAGAAGAAGATTTTGAAATAGACAGTCACAGCACAGGGGACCAAACCATGAAGGAGAAGGAGCAATATCCAAGGAGACAAAGAAGGCAGCCCCAAACTTTGACATATTCTTGGTGAGCCAAATCTCACAGAAAGAACCGTTTTCACCAAAGAAGTAGCTGTCAGTGGCTACTGGCAGCCCTGGTAATCAGAGTCAAACCAAACTGAATACCCAGCAGACTTGATAAATTACATGTGCCTTCTTTTGAAGTGCTCATTTATGTCTTTTGCGTTATTTGTAAAGAGAAACACAAAGATTGATGGTGTACCTTTGTATTTGTTTGGTGTTAGAACTGTAATGGAGAAAATGGACATTGAGGCTGTGGACAGCTACAGGTACCTTGGTGTTCATCTGAACAATAGACTGGACTGGACTCATAACTCAGACGCCCTCTACAGAAAAGGGCAGAGCAGGTTGTACCTGCTGCGGAGACTCAGGTCGTTTGGAGTGGAGGGCCCACTCCTGAAGACCTTCTATGA